CGAAAAATCCAACTTGCTAGGGAACTCCATTTTTTGCATTACCACTGCAAGAGTTTAAACCATTATGACAAGGATAAAAGTCTGTGGTCATCCAGTGGCACCTTCGTCAGCCATTTGCTTCTAATGACACAAAAATAAAATTTTACTTTATTTAAATTTCTTTTGCACCAGCATTATGTGGGATCAATATTGCTAAAGAGATGTATATTATATTTTAAAACTAAAATGTAAGCACTAACACATAAAAAACTCATTGAATAAAAGGAAAAACCTTTCGTGGTGCAGAAAGTGTTAAAACACATCATACACCTACTTTAAGCCAATCAAACTCCTACTTTGAGTTTTTGCACAAACCTGATTTTTGATCGAGAATCAATGTCCAAAAAGGTATATACCACTACTGTGATATCTATTTCCATTCGTGTAAAGCTATCATTAGTATTGATCATCACATGTCTGGTGGTTGCGGGCCACGATTCCTAGTCCAACGGACTTGTGATGAATTTTAATGATCTGGCCAATCAATAGGAGCACTTACTTCAACCTAGATGAGTGATCATCACTACCAATGATGAATAGCATTATAGTTTCCATTATTCAATCAAAGTACTAAATTGCAGATAAAGTTTTGCAGTTCTCTCTCTTGATACAGAGGTTTCTCACATGGTACTACAACCATTTTCCGTGCACTCTCATTGACCTTCTCCTAATACACTCACATACCCCTAGACACATCAAAAGAAATGCTATTGTTCTAGCAGTAAGAGACTTGGTTGATCGAAAATTAGCTACGAAATTTAAATTTTTAAAAGGAATATATGTTCTATTACCAGTGGAGAATAGTAGATTTATATTACAATACCAGTGAAAGCAACGAAATCAGGCTTCTCGACTTGAATCATCTTTTCAAGAAACCGTGTAGAGTTGAGATCAGAACAGACCTCGAACTCACTCTCCAGCACGTCTTTGCATCGAGTCACCATGCCATTCCCAAAATGCATGTCAGCCACCTACAAAAAAAAAACACCTTCATTCCAAAACTAAAACAAAAACCAAAAATTCCAACAAACGCACAATTTCATTTCCATAAAAGAATTAAATAAATGAAACCCATGATCATATTTGGTGAAAACTATTATTATACCTGGAGGATTTTGAAAGTTCCATCAGAGTTGAAGCGCAGAGGGAGGGGTGGCAGTTTCTTGACTCTGACAGTTTGGTGATTGAGTGTGAGTTTTTCGGATATTATCAGAATGTGGAAAACGTGAATCGAAGCAATTATGAGGAACAAGTACAGTAAAGTGTGGATCCACGCTGCAGAAATTTCCATTTTCTCAGGATTCTCATCGGTGTACACTGAGACTTTCCTTATTTATTATTTTTTACTTTTGCTTATTTTCTTTTGATTTTATTTGCTGACTTGTTGGGTTGTGAAGTAGTAGTACATGGGTTGAGCTCTAGGCCCTCCACACCGGGCCAAACTCCAGTTTCCTCAACTGGACTGGATCAGAGTGGACTCAATCTGGGCCTTAGCCCAAACCGGAGAGGAAAATCTAAGCAAATGACACCAAAATGGATAACTTTTACTATTGTGGCATCCTTTTTTTTTTTTGGAGCGTATACATTGCCCCAACAGTTTCTATTGTTGTACTACTTCTACATTAATTAGTATATTCTTTTTGTCCAAAAACTTCGTGAAGAGTATGTAAAAAGACTTATAAGTCCTTATATTTTTAACTAAGAAAAAAAATAAGAAACATAAAAGTGCGACAAAATATTTGTCCCTCATTTCAAAACACGCTAATAAATTTTTTGTTCATAAATCATCATTAGAGACAAGATGGGTTAATCAATAGAAGATTGAGGATAAGAGGTTGATCACTGTTTGAATGATTAGTTAACCATAAAGAGATCGCGAGGACATTTATGAGTTTAGATCGTAACAATGAAAATCGTAAATTTGGTATACTCTTATGGTTTGTTTGATCGTGTATGAATTTCCTTGCATTTAATGCAGTTTGTTCGTATGGACGGTGTCTTTCTACGATAGACACTGTGAAATAAACTAAGAAAATTCGAGCTATTGCATGATGGTACCGTCAAAGTCGATAAAGCGAAATTAAACCAAGTAAACTATAATAAAATCGTGAAAGTCCTAACATCGGCAATTGTATTAAGTGTGACCAAAAATTTTAACTTTTTCATTAGTTTTTAGTTAAAATCACCAATCAATTCCTTTGTATTTCTAGCAACTGTTCAAGTAGGATTAGAATTAACTGAATCAATAATAAGTACACAATTTAAGTGGAATCAACATGCAACTTACAATATACTTTTATGAATAAAGTTGTGAGTACAGAAAATATTTAACAGAAATTTTCACAGGATTTTAAATTTCTCTCACATGGGAATAGGCCCCATGTGAATGAAAAATTGGCAAAACTTCCCCCCCCCCCCACCCCACCCCTGCTGTGCGTAGTCTGTGAGCACTCTACTTTTATTATTTATTGTGATAATGTACATTTACAATTTCGCTCATAACTACTGGAATTGAGGATGCCTTTGGAGTTTGGACTAGCCTAAAAATTTTAGGGCGAGACCAAAGATAGAATTTGTTTTGACTAGCGCGGTATGACCAACTCTAGTTAAATAAGTTTGGGAAGTGATGTTATTTATCAACAACAATGGTGTAATATCACCAGCCTTAATGGAATCAAGTGATATAAAATAAAAGACACAGTTAAACGAATCCCATAATTCTACATTTAATTGAGATTATCACATAATAATACCTAACTGGTGTTGTAGCACTAGTACCAGTGCTGATAGTAGTACTATTCAAGTTTGGGACAAGTGTTAATCAAGTCAACTAGCTCGATAATGTTCACCATACTTCGCAAATTTTTCGACAATAAGAGTTCACAATATTGATTAATACAATACAAAAAAAAAAATTTGTTAAGAAAAATATATTAACTAGAGTTTAGTTTGGTAATCTAAAAAACATAAAGTGTCTGTTTGTTAACCATTATTGAGAAGAAAATGGTGTAATGAATAGTATTTTTTGGAAAATGTGTGGTTGAAATTGAAAAAAACTTTATCGATTTATTTGTAGAATATTTTATTATTTGAATGTGTAGTAGAAATTGATTACTGTAGAAAACAATTTTTTGAAAAAAGGTAGACAAACAGGGGCAAAGCATTGTTAGTCGATAAAGTCAAACTTCAAGTTTTTACGAGTCTAAATGTTAAAAAATATTTTCTTATTTTCAATATATTTTATTATTCTAAAACTACTGAATAAATAAATTAATGTATACCAAAAATATTAATTATCATTATTTTTCATTTAAATTAATTCTTAAGACTTAACGTTTAAATTTCAAATAAATAAACTTCCACGTGGGTTTATTTAATTAACGTTGTTATTTCTTTATTAATTTGTCACAATATGCTAGGCGTATCTAAATCAAGTTTGTAGATCTTCATATTATTTCAAGATTTTGATTGATCATTTGATTAACCTTGTTTATAATATCAACCTTATTTATAATATTATAAATAATGTAAAAATGTCGGACTTTTGTCGTATTGTCTTGTGTAATCTTTTGTATGTATTTACTGTATAGTATTATTTTAATAGCATGTTTTAATTAAGACGTTTAAATTTCATAAAATATTGCGTTACCAATCCACCAAAATAATGCATTGTACTTTATTAAACCATAGTCACCATAGAAAAAAAAATAATCGACGCTCAAGCACTATGATTATTATTGGTTCCCCGTAAAGCATGGTGGTATATTTCTTTAATGTATATTCAGGTATTGTCAAACAATTTTCGACGATTAATTTTAAGCACAAACAACTCTCAGTGCAACGACATTAAGGGCCCGTTTGATTGGTTAAAAAAAAGTTTAAAGTGGATTCACCTTGAAATTCGAATTTCATTTCCACTTTCGTATCAAANTGGAATCAAGTGATATAAAATAAAAGACACAGTTAAACGAATCCCATAATTCTACATTTAATTGAGATTATCACATAATAATACCTAACTGGTGTTGTAGCACTAGTACCAGTGCTGATAGTAGTACTATTCAAGTTTGGGACAAGTGTTAATCAAGTCAACTAGCTCGATAATGTTCACCATACTTCGCAAATTTTTCGACAATAAGAGTTCACAATATTGATTAATACAATACAAAAAAAAAAATTTGTTAAGAAAAATATATTAACTAGAGTTTAGTTTGGTAATCTAAAAAACATAAAGTGTCTGTTTGTTAACCATTATTGAGAAGAAAATGGTGTAATGAATAGTATTTTTTGGAAAATGTGTGGTTGAAATTGAAAAAAACTTTATCGATTTATTTGTAGAATATTTTATTATTTGAATGTGTAGTAGAAATTGATTACTGTAGAAAACAATTTTTTGAAAAAAGGTAGACAAACAGGGGCAAAGCATTGTTAGTCGATAAAGTCAAACTTCAAGTTTTTACGAGTCTAAATGTTAAAAAATATTTTCTTATTTTCAATATATTTTATTATTCTAAAACTACTGAATAAATAAATTAATGTATACCAAAAATATTAATTATCATTATTTTTCATTTAAATTAATTCTTAAGACTTTAACGTTTAAATTTCAAATAAATAAACTTCCACGTGGGTTTATTTAATTAACGTTGTTATTTCTTTATTAATTTGTCACAATATGCTTGGCTTATCTAAATCAAGTTTGTAGATCTTCATATTATTTCAAGATTTTGATTGATCATTTCATTAACCTTGTTTATAATATCAACCTTATTTATAATATTAAAACTAATGTAAAACTGTCGGACTTTTGTCGTATTGTCTTGTGTAATCTTTTGTATTTATTTACTGTATAGTATTATTTTAATAGCATGTTTTAATTAAGACATTTAAATTTCATAAAATATTGCATTCACCAATCCACCAAAATAATGCATTGTACTTTATTAAACCATAGTCACCATCGAAAAAAAAATAATCGACGCTCAAGCACTATGATTATTATTGTTTCCCGTAAAGCATGGTGGTATATTTCTTTAATGTATATTCAGGTATTGTCAAACAATTTTCAACTATTAATTTTAAGTACAAACAACTCTCAGTGCAACGACATTAAGGGCCCGTTTGATTGGTTAAAAAAAGTTTAAAGTGATTGTACCTTGAAATTCGAATTTCATTTCCACTTTCGTATCAAACAGTTAAAGTAGAAATTGAATTCTTCGAATGTGACGTTTTTCATGGAATTTAAATTAGTCAGACGGAAACTAAATAAACTTGAACTTCCATAAAAAGTTGCGAGACCCATACTTCAAAACGATTTTAGAAATCTATGCGAAACAATCGTGGACAAATTTGTCAAAGAAGCATGTAGCATGTTAATAAATAAAAATGGAAGAGCCACGAAAAACATAATGTGGACATGACCAGTTGAAACGTGGACATCAGATCAGCAATTTCGGCAGTGAACATGGCTTTAAATTAATACGATTAGAACATTGTTCACACGTGATTATAGCGCCTTAATTTAATTTAAACATAATTAACTAGAACCAATTTTACTTTTAATTAACATAATTAAATAGAAATCGATATCGAGAATTGATCAAATCTGAGTCGGTTCTTGATTCTTGAATCGGAACCGTAAATCAAAAATTTATTTTTTATAATATTTTTCATTTGGATCCAACGACTCGATCCATCAAGTAGCTAGTTTGCAAAGTCCAAGTAGTAAGTATTATAATTAATCAGATTCATTTATTTGAATAATTGGATAATATTACTCTCGTTTATAGCAACTCTCAACCACACTTTGCGTTTTGTTGCCCCATAAACCTTTCTTTAGGCACCGTGCGTAAAGCTACAACCGAAATTGAATGTTGTTATGCTAGATATCAAACGCCGTTTAGTTGCATATTGATAGTGGAATTGGATTAAGAAAGTGTTTAATATGTACTTGATGACATATTTTATTTCTTCTAATTCTGCTAGATATTGGAAAGATCATGGATCTTTTAAAAAATATTATGGGTAAAATCGGATCGGAATCAACGGTTTGGGAAATTTGGTTCCAGTAATTATGTGAACTTGAATAGTTCCATTTACGAAATACTCGAAGTGTAATGGGCGATTCCAAGTATTGAAATACCCAGATTAACCACCCGACGCCGAACCTAGTTTAAATTTACATTTTAGCTTCCTTTTAAGCTGGGCCGAACATCTCTTATTTTTATAAAAAAACTTATTTAGCAACTTTTTATTAAATATAATTGAAAAATATACCTTTTTGGTGTAGAT